GTAGGTGGGGGGGGGAGTGAATGACCAGCGCTCTCTTCCACCCTCAATACCACGAATGAAGTGAGACCCTTGAGCAAGGCACCGAACACCCACCTGCTCCCCAGGCTCCGCAGCAACCACTGCTCTGGGTGTGTGTTCATGGTGTGTGATGGTGTGTGTGTGTGTGTGTATGTGTGTTTGTTCACTACTCAATGCTGTGTGTGCACTTGGATGGGTTAAATGCAGAGCACAAATTCCAAGTATGGGACACCATACTTGGCTACACGTCACGTCACTTTTTTCAGAATCAGCAAGAGCTTTATTGCCAAGTGTGTTTACACACAAGGAATTCATCTTGGTGGCAGGAGCTTCCAGTACAGAAAGTACAGACATAGTGCAGACATACATATAATTTAAGGTAATAAAAAGAAAAATAACACTAATAATAAAGGGAATAGACAATAAATAAACAAAATAATAAGTATATAGTAATAAAAATATAGAGAAAATAGACAGAATTATGAATGTGCAAATGTGCTATTTTACAGATAATTATAAATATATATATATATATACACACAAAATTAAAATCAGTTCAAATATAAAAGTTAATATATAAAACTTATATTAAATAAAAAAAAAATATATATAAACCAGAATGTAAAATTAAAATTAAGTTCAAAAGTGTACTTTTTATTTAAGCATGTATACACATATATAGTTATTTTAATATAATGTTATATAAATACATCAAATGATATTTAAATAAATATACAAATATAAATTGAAATATGCTGTATAGGATGGCAGCTCTCTAGGTTTTGAAACATTAAGCGTAAATATGCATGCACGTTCAAACACTCACTTAAAAGCCATCTGAACCAGGTGAGCGAGAACATCCTGTGCATCTAGCGTGATGCGACTCAGATCCTTGTCCTGTTTGATGAAGTTCAGCAGCTCTGAGGCGTTAGCCATCCAGAAGGCCAGAGCCCCTGCGATGTTCTTCTGTTTCTGTAATGCACAGAGATGGGCCGTTACACACAGCTAAAGCAAAACAATCCGACGTACAAAAAACAAAGAAAAGATTTACAGCCATGAAAAGCACTGAGTAGCACTCCCAGGATAGACATGTGCCTCTGTCCAACCCTTCCAGCCTCCAACAACCAGTCACCGCGTCCAGACAGAGTAGAAATCATTCACGCGTTACAGTTAGCTCAAGCTAGGCACGACTGACTGGGAAGCTGCGGTGACTGGTTGCCCTGGATCCCACAACCCTGCAACACAGAGAGGGGATACACACGGTCCGGAAACAACCGGACCTCTGTGTATACCTGCACACATCTATCCCACGTGACGACGACAGCAACCCCCCGTCCCGCCCCGACCCTCCCGTATACGTCATACTGGCCACAGGACGCATCCATAAGAACAATGACGTTAACCACAGACATGAAGTCAAATGAAAAGGAAATTAAAAGTTTCCAAACAAAGCAAAAGAACATGGGGTAGTCTCTCATCCACACTGAAGTGCAGTAAGCAGAGGTCAAAAATGGAAGATGCTGCAATTAAAATGTTGCCGCAATCAGAGTTTGTTTTTTAGTATCACATGTTCCATGTTGAGTCGTAATGAGGGGTTATGAACGATTGCGTCCAGCTGTAGGAGGAGGGATTACTTAGTTGGCTTGGGTTGTTTGCTTTCTGTTATGGGGGGATAAAAGAGGCATGGAAGACGGAGCCAAGCTGACAGATACAACAGAGAGAGAGAAACAGGAAGAATGAGACGCCTCCCTAGCAGTGCAAACTCCTACCTGATCACCTTCAGCAATCTCCTGTAGAGATAGTAGGTGTGGGGGAAGAGGGGGTGGGGGATGGACAGACATTCGACAGGACAGAGAGAGAGAGACTGTCAACAACAGCCATGGCATGGACAGAATTCACAGGCATGTAAACACATAGACATTCACGCTCACACGGGACAGGTCACAACATCATCCTGCACTCACTGCCGTACGGGACGTCCGAGTCATCTAGAGTGATTTTACTTGATTTTATAATTAATGGTGTAGTTTAAAGATACAGCTGCTTTTCTGTGACGCCAAGGATGAAATTTACAAGCCACTAGATAAATACAGACTGTATCCATTCATATAAACGACAGTCTGTTTTCTCATTTTAGATACTGAACTCCATTTAAAGTCTTGTAACAGGGAGTCAGGAAATGGACGATTTATTAAATAACTATTTGCATTTGAACATTTCTGTCAGTCTATGAGATATACGGTTTGAACACCTGGGTGGGCCACTAAAAACCTGCAGGCGCTGACCAAATAAGAACATAAATAAACAGAGCATGTGGAGCTCATTTCTGAACTGTAAAGAGGCGTTTACATAGTTATTTGTGGTGACCAAATGATGAAAGTGAACGAAGGCAATCCAATGAGGCCGTGTGCAGTGACTAGACACAGCTGAGAAAAGTTTTACTTTATGCAAATGAGCAACGACGACTCGTTCATGTTACTGTGAGCAATTTCACTGTTCTGTAGAATTTGTATCAGTCCATATACAACGATACAGTAAAAAACATGATTCACTGAGTTTGATTCATGCATTGATAATCAGTCTCGTTCATGATATTTACACCACTGTGCAAAAGTTTGGGGTCAGTAAGACTTTTCTGAAGAAAATAAATACTGTTATTCAGCAAAGATGCATTAAACTGCTCAAAATTGACTAAATATATTTACAATGTTACAAAAGCTTTTGAACTTTCTATTCATCAAAGAATCTTGAAAAATTTATCACATGGCTTACACAAAAATATGCGCAGCACAACTGCTTTCAAAACTGATAATAATAAGAAACGTTTCATTTCAAAAGGATTTCTAAAAGGATTTCTGAAGACTGGAGGCTACTGAAAATTCAGCTTTGCCATCTCAGGAATAAATCACATTTTAAAATATAATAAAGCAGAAAACAGTTATTTTATAGTATAATATTATTTCACAATATTACTGTTTTTACTGTATCTTTGATCAAATAAATGCAGCCCTGATGAGAAGAGACTTCTTCTGAAAAAAACAACAATACATTTTTAAACGGTAATGTACTATACAAACACTTTTCCTTGTAGAAGCAACAAGAAGCTCTTTTTGTTTCTTTTTCTAGTGATACATCTCAGTATGGCCACTTGGTGACTGTCGGAAGCTGCTGAAGCAAGCGCAGCTAAGAAAATATGGTGCATGAATCCGGTAAAACAAGGCACAGAGACACAAACACACACACAGACATTCACATACTAAACAAACACAGGGGAAACACTGAGTGCAGTAGTTTAAGCACTGTTTGCTGAGGCAATGACCTGAATCGATGAAAGCAGAGTGAAACAAGCTTTAACACTACAACTACAAAAGCATGTATAATGTAACTCCACAGACAAATCTCTACATCAGAGCTACAGCGACATGTCTAAAGTATAAATAATACAGTTATAATATAATAAAGTTACACACAACTTGCATTGTCAAAAATGTATAAATATGAATAATTATTATTATCAGAAGATAATTCTAGTAAAAATTGTCAACACCCACCTGGATAACTCCTTCCATCATGCTCACCATCTTGTTGACAATGGCGATGAACTTGTGTGTTCGCTCAGAGGGGCTGATGTCAGGCCGGTATTGGCTGGACATGACGTAACGGCAGGTCATGTACAGCACATAGGTGGGGGACAGCTTGAAGTGCACCGTTGAGCTGTTGGTGTAGTTAATGATGGCAGACAGGAAGGCATCCTCGGCTATGGGGGGAAATCATGGGATAGAGGAAGCAGAGAGAGATTTAATTGGGAATGTACCAAGTTTTAATGTACCAAAAGAGAGCTACATTTTAGCATGCACATTCATTTAAATGGCAGTTACACATATACATTTAGTTTGTCCGCTGTGCTGTAAATTCCATGCTACTGATCACACAACGATCAGCACAACGAAATTAGCACAACACAACGGAAACAAGTCACAACACAACAAAATCTCCACAACACAACGAAATCGCCGCAGCACAACGAAATTAGCACAACACAACAATAGCACAACACAACGGAAACAAGTCACAACACAACAAAATCTCCACAACTAGGGTTTGAAATTAACTTTTTCACTCACCAGCCAATTTGGCTACTAAATTTTTAAGTTACCGGCCATTCATAATTTCTACTAGCCAAAAAAATTAAGCAAATAAATTATGAAAAAAAGGCCAGAGGTAAGCCAACAGCTTGAGGCTGTCCACACTGGATGCGACAAAGTGACCATTGCAAATCATTTGTACTTTGTAAAACAGTAGGAAATTTACTGCTAATAAATGCTGTCATCCTTTCCTCACCCTCATGTCTTTCCAAACCTGTATGACTTCTGTAAAACACAAAAGATATTTTGTAGAATGTTACCAAACCATTTTGGTTACTCTTGATTTCTACTGTATGGACAAACATTTCTTGAATTTCTCAAAATATCTTCTTTTATGTTCCACAGAAGAAAGAAATTCATACAGGTTTGGAATGACATGATGCAGAGTAGCCTAAATGATTACAGTTTTAATTTTTGGGTGAACTATCCCTTTAAGAACTTTATAATATTTGTAAATGGAAAACACCTCATTTATAAGTGTCTCTAAATTACAGAGACACTGGTTTTTATCTTTAATCAGGCTCTTACTGAATTAACATTTTACTTAAATTAAAATGAATTAGAATGAAACATTTAAAGATAAATAAGCTATTAAAGTTTGTTTACATTGCAATTTGTTTACATGTATTTTACCTTGTCATGTCTGTTTTCAGGCCGAACCTTTAATGTTGTCATATCACACAACTGTAGCCTATAACACAATTCTGTGTCATTTCTGAATGGATCGAGCGATTTGTGCTGTTTATCTCTTATATCGTGGCGGAAGCGCAGCGCTGTGCGGGAGACTGATCCCGCTCTGCTTTAACGCGCGGCTGGCGGATGCACCTGGTATCGCCGCTTCACACTTTTGCAGTACTTTTAATTAGTAAACATAATTTATGAAAAGTAACCCGCCAAATTGGCTAGTGATTTGACAGCGTTACCCGCCACAGCTGATTTTTACCCGCATTTGGCGGGTTGGCGGGTGTTAATTTCAAACCCTGTCCACAACACAACGAAATCGCCGCAGCACAACGAAATTAGCACAACACAACAATAGCACAACACAACGGAAACCAGTCACAACAAAATGAAATCGCTGCAACACAAAGGAAATGCTCCCGCTCCCTTTCTTTGGCCACTATAAGGGATGCGTTAAAACTAAGGACTCTATACCAGAGGTAATGGTCTAACGAAATTCAAATTTTGGGCATTTTACTGTAGTACCAATTTTTTACTGTAGTACCAAACCATTAGCCAAGTCATTTATATGGCTATGCGAACTTAAAGTGTCATTTAAAAATCCTAGTGCAGTAAGCTCTTTAAAATTTGTAATATTTTTAGACCATTAACTCTGGTAAGAAGCCCAAATTTTAGCTTTAAAGCATCGTTTACGTGGCCGCGAGAAACAGCGTTATGAAATGAATTCAACAGTAATAATATATGCAAGTTCAAGAGTCCATAAAAACATTGGTATGGTATTGGTCTAGTAAATTGTTCAAAATTAAGGTTTGGTTAGTCCATTACCACTATATAAAGCTTGCACGTTCGTTTTTTTCTTTGCAATAAGTGTAAATAGTCCTTAGATATTATTTATAGGCTATAGTCTATATAGTGGCAGATGTTTGCACCTCAGTTTTGTTGTACATTAACAGGATGCAATAGTAATGTAGAGTGTAAATTATTATATTTCTTAAAAAATATGAAATGGATGCTGCTATTGGGACAATAAAGCCCTCCATACACCTATACCCCTAACCCCTATATACTTCATTATTAAACACTCGTTATGCACATTATTTATTTTCACTTTTGGAATATTTTATACATTGAAAGTAAATGCCTTTCTGATCTGATATGTGATGGGGGAAAAGGAGAAGAGCGAGTCCGGCAAATTTTATTTATTATTATTTATTAGCATTATTAAAGAGGAGCTCACACGTTAAAAAGTAGCAAATATATAGGCTATGTTTGTATGCATAGGACCATTTACGTTGTGTTGTGCTATTTTCGTTGTGTTGTGGCTTGTTTCCGTTGTGTTGTGCTAATTTCTTTGTGCTGCGGTTATTTTGTTGTGTTGTACTAATTTCGTTGTGTTGTGGCTTTTTTCCATTGTGTTGTGCTAATTTCGTTGTGCTGCGGTTATTTTGTTGTGTTGTACTAATTTCGTTGTGTTGTGGCTTTTTTCCATTGTGTTGTGCTAATTTCGTTGTGCTGCGGTTATTTTGTTGTGTTGTACTAATTTCGTTGTGTTGTGGCTTTTTTCCATTGTTTTGTTGTGTTGTGGATTTTTACCGTTGTGTTGTGCTGCGGTTATTTTGTTGTGTTGTACTAATTTCGTTGTGTTGTGGGGTTTTTTCCATTGTGTTGTACTAATTCCGTTGTGTTGTGGCTTGTTTCCGTTGTGCTGCGGCAATTTTGTTGTATTGCGGTGATTTCTATGTGTTGTGGAGATTTCGTTGTGTTGTGCACTACTGGGCCACCGTACATATCAAATCAAAAGCATGAAACTAAACAACAGATAACAATTACATAACACACAACATGACAATATATAAACAACACATTTTCTAACACACGACAATAACATGACACATAACATAACAGCATACATAACATGACAACACACAACATGGCACATAACATGACACAACATATAACCATAACACATAACACATATCGTAATACACAACACAACACATAACATGACAAGACACAACATATAACCATAACACATAACATAACAACAGGTCTTCGTGAGCTTATTTTTCAGCTAAATATGTAAACTGGAACGTACAAATGCAAATGAAATATATAGTGGGTGATTTTCCACTTAGGGTTGTGTTGTGCCAGTGGTCCTAGGCCGTTTTTGTTTTGTTTTTTGTCCAATCCATCCATGCAACTGCACAGAATTCCTTCTCTGCCTTCTGGCATAATACTCACTCCTGCCACCTAGTGGTACAGTGGGACAATTATATATTCTATATATTGTATATTCTATTATAATTTAAGAATTTTTTAATGGACAGAATGAGTCCATGAGAATGAATTTAGATAAATTCAAATCTAATTTATTTTGAACTGACTTCATGATGAAACGGGTTTATTAGCAGTGATCAATACTTTCCATCCATTGATCTGAGGCAGCTAACCATTAGTGATTTCTATAATTAGCTGGCTGTTTTGCTTTATAATTGACACAGCCAATCATCAACCATCAACCAGGTCAAGTGGAAACACTATGTTGTGTCTGCAACACCCAGCCAATGCCAAAACATGTAAACTTAACAGCAAGTTAAAAACCCACCACACACCAGACAAAACACATGACCCAGTTAAGGTCAGATCGCGGAAATTAAACCAGCACAAATCGACTGGTTTTGCTTTGCAGATGGACGTGATACTCACAGTTTTCCCTGAACTCGATGCTGGCCGGCAGAGTGAGCTCTGGGCCGTCCTGGGACCTGCGGGGAAAGAATTGTTGCTCGATGAACCAGTTAAGATAGGACAGATTGACACCGCTGTCTACAGACGCCCACCGCTCCAGAGATCCCGCTCCTGTCCTGCCGTACAACATCCTGTCACAGATGCCAAACTGTGCTGTGCGTGTTTGAATGTGCGTTCTCATCTCCACTGGATTATTGATGACAAGACTGAAGCCAGGTGAGCGGCGGGCTCAGGTGTCTCAGGTTCAGACAGAGGAAAAGTGGTTAGGTTATATATAGAGACCTATACCCAGCACTGACTCCATAGAGACCCTCGCTGACTGATAGCGGATGTGCACTAAACCTGTTGTTACTAAACAGAGAATTTAACGAACATGGCATTGCTTTGTGTCATTTACTAAATCATTTGTTCTCACATTTTCTACACTAACTGCAGAGCAAAATCCACAGAATTCTGAATTATGTATTTTCAACATCACATCAAAATCATCCAAATAAAAGATAATAAATAAAAAGATTATAATAATGAATTATGAAAAATAAGGCTAGGATCATTTACTTAAAAATCATAATAAAAAAGTATTATTTTATAATTTTTTATAATATTTTTATTTTTATTTTAATGTAATTCATTTTTAATAGTAGTAATAATAATAATAATAATAATAATAGTAATCATTTATTATCGTTTTTATAACTACTACTTTCTAAAAAAAAAAAAAATGCCCCTGGCTTTACTTTGCATTGTCAATTTGCATAATTATTTTTATTATTTCCTCTTCTTTTGGAACATTGGAACAAAACCCAACATGATGCTTTTATTTTCTGCAAATCATTCTTAGAAAAATACATAATTAATAATTAAATGTGTTGTGAAATTAAATGAGGTAAAATGTGTTAATCTGACAGTACTGCATTCTTATTTCTAACTAAAAGAATGAACAAATTAGCCAAAAATATTTATACTGTATGTGTGTGTGTATATATATATATATATATATATATATGTGTGTGTA